GAAGAGTGTTATGGAAAGGTTAAGTCTCAAGTGGATAAGCAGTTGTCAGGTGACAGCAACTATGTCTGCATTACATCCGATGCATGGTCAAATATATCCAATGAACCAGTCGTCAATTATATGGCTGTGTCTCCTAACAACTCCTTGTTTTTGGAAGCAGTTAACACTGAGGAGCAGGGACACGACGCCGACTGGCTTTCCAAAGATTTAATTCGAGTGATAGACAGTCTGCATAACAATGTTGTTGGTGCTGTCACAGACAACACTGCGACAAACAAGAAGGTGTGGTGTGAGTTGGAACAGAAATACCCTTCACTGTTCTTTCATGGATGTGCTTCACATGGCCTTAATCTCTTAGTGAAAGATATTTTTGCCGGTAAGAAGGCAGAATTATCTGGTGGTGGTCCTGATCATGATCCAGCAAGTTACCCGTTTGAAGACTTACAGCTCTTCTTTATCGATTGCAAAGATATCGTCACATTTTTTCACAACCACCATGCTCCTAAAGCCAAGCTGAAGAAAGCCCTTGCTACGGCAAAGTTGAGGGCCCTGGTCCAACCAGCACCAACACGTTGGGGTACCTTAATTGGGTGCTTTAAATCTCTGCGAGCTGCAGACAGCATCCTGAATGGTCTTGTGTCTGAGCGAGATTTCGTTACTGCCGGCGGTGCCAAACAGAAGGAAAAACGGCTAGCAATCCGAGCAGTCATAATGGATCCTGATTTTGTTAAGAAGCTTGATGAATGTATTCGTATCTTGGAGCCCATTGAGATGTATATTAAATTGTTTCAAGGTGATGCAGTCCCGTGCTCTGATGTATACAAAGCTTTTCTGGTCTTGGAAGAAAAGATGCGCAACATGAGTAATATTAGTTCGGAGAAGAAAGAATACCTCGCTAAGCTGGTGCGTAGCAGGTTCAACTTCATGTACGGGGATGCACATGGTGTATGCTACCTGTTAGACCCTCGTTACTTGGGCGATGATATGACACGGAGATTGCGCAATGAGATAGAAGATTTCATCTACAACTTTCTAAAGAATGACGGGACAACCAACAAGGAAAGACAGGAGCAACTGGCCCGGGAATATACAGCTTTCCGAATTGAGGCACTGAGAGAACGACGGGAGAACACGTTCCGCTTCAGACTCATTGGCCAATCTAAATCAGTTCTTCAGTGGTGGAAGGCTGATGGCACTGATTGGCCATTATTGCAAGATTTGGCCACACATGTATTTTCCATGGCAGCATCAAGTGCTGCAAGCGAACGTAGCTTTTCCACCTTTGGTTTCATTCATACCAAACTACGCAACCGTTTGGGCCCAGAAAAAGTTAAGAAACTAGTTTACATCAAGACAAACACTGCACAAATCAGTGGTACCGACTTATTTGACTATGACAGTGACTGTAGCATCGATTTCAGTATGGATGTTTCCATTCTCGAAGATGTAACAGCATAAAGCCATAAAATTTTCTTGATATTTAAAGTTGAATAGCTTATTTAATAGCTTATTTTAAAACTTAATTAAGAGCTTATTTTTACAGTTCAATACCTTATTTAGTAGCTTATATCATAAGACATTAACTATCACATATCGAAAACTTATAAGTGCAAAAACTTATATCGTGACATGTCTATGTCTTTTCTTGTCTTTTCTTGTCTTTTCTTGTCTTTTATTGTCTTTTATTGTCTTTTAATGAATAAAAGAAAAAAGACAAAAAAAATTTTGAAAAAATTGTCTTTTATCCATCCCTGTAGAGATCGTAGCCAACCTATGGTCGCGGAATATTTTTGTTGTCTCTTATTGGATATCATATCCGCAAGACATTTATAAAACGTTTCAGCCTCTCTTCCCATGCCGCCGTAGAAAGTATTGGGTCATCAAAGCTCATAGGATTGCGAAAGTCGTCAAGCAACGGTGCACAACATGTCGAAAGCTCGAACACAGGGGGTCCAACTAAGAGCTGTGTTATAGTATGAATAAAACATTAATAAATCGTAATATGAATAAAACATCATAACGTAATATATTTAAATTATTGCACTTACTTGTATAAATCATAAGAGCTTGTATTTCCAGTGAATAGCTTCAAACAGGGCGCTTATGTATATTCAGAAACATTGCTTCGAAAGATTGTTCAAATGTGGCGAATAAATTGACAAAACGAAAATATTACATGACGTTCCAACGAAAATAACAGCAAGGATTGCGGGCGCGCGAGCGAAAAGGCGAGGGAAGAAATAAATAAAAGGGATGAAACAAATATCACGTGACTTTTTAAAATGCTTCTAGACTATCCGTTTAAGCTTTTTGTGGGTTTTTTAAGGCTCAGACGATGTTCTCTTACATGAACAAGCCTAGCCATTACCAAAAAATAGGTACGCAATGCGTACATGTGGCTAGCCTGGTAAACTTTAACTCCCCAAACCCTTCTCCAAACCCAGAAAGCCTGCCATGCTGGTTAACTTTAATAGTAATAAGAAGACACCACGATGGTCAGAACCCAGAAAGCCTGCCATGCTGGTTAACTTTAATAGTAATAAGAAGACACCACGATGGTCAGAATGCGCAAATTTTCTCCCACCTGTGCGGGCTCATTTTGTCAGTGGAGTTTCACGGTATACTTGAAAAATACCGTGTCATATCTCGTCGCTTCCCATGTAAATAGCGAATTCAAACACTTGAATATAAAACACAAATATGTGAATTTGCACGCTAGGCTTTTGAATATAACGATTGTAAAAAGTTTCCGTGTGATCTATTAGCAATTTAAAAGATACCTAAACTGTAATACTGCCATATATTTAATCTCGCGTTTGTTATTTGCGCAGCAGCAGTTTTGCCGTGGAATTAAAATTGCGTGTCATATATTTTTAGTAGGCAAATAGCGTTTGAGATATAGCAACATTAGCAAACAAATACACCGAAATCTTGGTTAGCACGCCAACTTTTACCACTTTTAATGCAATATTACTAAACTGTAATACTGTCATATATATTTAATCTCGCGTTTGTTATTTGCGCAACAGCAGTTTTGCCGTGGAATTAAAATTGCGTGTCATATGATATTTTAATAGGCAAATAGCGTTTGCGATATAGGCCTAGCAATATTAGCAAACAAATACACTGAAATCTTGGTTAGCACACCAACTTTTACCACTTTTATGCAATATTAGAAAATAAACTTAAATAAACGAGTTCGATGCACAGTTTCTGGTCTTTTACCATAATTATCCAATGCTGGTTTTATTTGCTGCATTATAAACCTCCTCCACACAATACCCCTTCTTTAAAATACCAAACATTTCGAATGCAATTGAGATATGAAATCTCAACAAGAAGACAATTCAAGATGGCAAATCAGTCAAAAGTGCAAATCAAAACCCATATTTACACGGCGAGTAGGCGCAATTTCTGATCGGTTTCGACACCATAGGTTGAAGCCATGAAGATAAACTTTATTTTAATTTTCTGGTTTAACAACTGCGTCGTAACAACATCACTAGTATTGCCTCGAAATGCAAATGTGAAACGTCGGCAGAAAAATACGGACGCTTCCGATTGCTCCCGATACTTCACGAAAATCCGGACTGGACACCATCATCATCGCTCATCGCGTTTGTGTATGTGATAGTGGCTAGCCCGCAAACGGGCTAGCCACAAAAAGCACTGATCAATCTAATTTATGTGATTTATAACAGCGAGCATTCTTGGCCATTTTCGCGAGATGTGTTCCATAAGTAGCCTGTTCTCGTGACGTATGACGAAATAATAATAAAACTAAATAATGTAAAAAAAACCATTGGTCGCTACATTTAAAGGTAGGTTACAGTCCCTTCTGCGCATGTCTGTGATTGTTTTTGCCTGGGGACTCCACCGGAAGTTGGGCAACTCGGTTTGTACTCGGTCCAGTCTCATTTCTGGCAATAACACGCGCGTTGTTTTTTTTCGCAAGCGAATGAGTGAAGCTAGAAGTTTCCAAAATATATTGAGCTTTTTTGAGCGACAATCCTTCAAATAACGAGTTTTTGGGGCAACATGACGAGTAGGAAAGAATACCACGCTAGCAGGGATGCTTCCAAAGTGTACCAAAGTGTATCTATTTTATTGTTTTCCTCGATGGAGAGCGTGCCATTTCTGTCTGCGTTTCCCCATGATATACCTACATCCTCAAGCTTCTACTAAAGGTTTTCAAGAAAAGAATCCAAGGACATTTCACCCAACATAGCTGCTATTCACTCCCTTCACTGTGGATACTTCAGTGAAATCGCTTGTTGAAGTCCATCAATCGAGGTTTTAATTAATGACTATAAAATTCTCTTTATTTACTATTTTAAATTTTAATTATACCGTATCGTTACATACGAACTGTTCTATCTCTTTTATTTACAAACTGAAACCCATATAATTAAGGCCTAAAGATATGATACTCGTGAGTAGGAGTTGTCAATGAAAAAGTGTTAATGAGCAATTTGGAGTCAACATGTTTTGGATGGCTGTTTATATATTATTGTCAGTGAGTGATAAATGATATAAATTCATCTTCTTGACCGTGCTTTACAGTCTTTGACTGTCTTTTCATGGACAACTTGTGCTCACTTAATAGAAACACATAAAAAGTTTCTCTGATCAAAGTATATTTTAATCAAAGCAGCTTACAGCCCTCGAAAACGAGATCGGCATTTGGCAATGCCGACCTAAATGCCGACCTATCAACCTCCCAGGTCGGCAAATTTTTGCCGACGTTAATTCAGCAAAAGTAAGAATGTTTGGTGCTGATAGCTGTTAAAAAGTCAGCGATTATAAAATTTGATTCGTAGTTCGATTATCTATAAACACACTTTGCGATAAGGTTTAAAAATTGACGTTTAAAAATTAAATTAAATTAGCTCAGCTAACATTTAGTTTTATTATAAAACATTTTGATCACAGAAACTTATATATGATGTAAACAAACTCAACTAATAATTACTAGTATATTTTTTCACCCTAATTGTGACTAAAAGCTTGCATATAAGAACCTATAATTTAAGAACCTGTTAGGCTAAATTTTTTTATTTTAGACACGCTAAAATAAGAATTTGTTTTAGGCTAACATTTCAGGTTCTTATTTTATCACATGAAGACAAATCAAAAATGTATATAAATCAAAGAAAATAAACTCTTCACAAAGTAATGAAAATAATCCAGAATACTGAAAATGTCATTGAGTGCATGTTAGCAGCTTTACAGTATAGCTTTACAGTATAGCTTTACACATAGCTATTAGTTAGATAATTTGTGCACAATTTATATACATGTATATACATGTAAATTATACCTCATGCACATACCAAAAATGAGTCGCTTTTCTTTAAGAATTTAACCTAATTTCCAAGCTCTAATGATCATGTAGTCACTACATGTATTGCCCAAAGGTGGGGTCTGGGGGTTTTAAATCCGAGCTTTCTTTCATCTAGATGGATTGCCTCCTACACAAGGCAATCTGAAACACAACCCAGTTCATTTTGTACTATGATTGCCTGATCTTGTGTCACAAAGAGTGGCACCATCCCATGCATATATATATTGTCAGCACAAGCTGCTATGGCCTGTTTTGTGACATGAAATCAGACAACACAGTAAAACCCTGGTTATACCCTGCCTATAATAAGAACCTAGATTTTTTCCAAGTTAGTCTAAACAGGTTCTTATGTGAATGGTGCTTACCTGACTGTTCATGTCACAAACTGTAATTATATTTAGTTTATTCAGTATTTTCAGGGGGCCATAAGCCCTTGAGTCATATGCTTGCCTATCCCCTTGGATATATGTCTGCTAATAATAATTGTTTATAAATTATATGTATTATCATATCATAAATCTGTTATAAATCTGTAAATCATTTATATATAATAAATCATATATAAATCTGTTAAGAAAAAGAAAGATTCGTTGATGTAATAAAATTTTTATCAGTGTTTCCTGAGCATTCTGATGAGCTCTGATATAGAGGGAAACAAGCATAATTATATTTAGCAATTGACAATTGTCCTGTGAAGGGACATGATGAACTAACGTGATCACTAGATTGACCAGAATTGTTTAAGTTAATTTAATATTACTATTAGATCATTCAGTGTCACAAGAATATCATCATTTAGTGTCAATATATATGAGAGTAATATCAGTGAATTCATACTTCCAGTTCATAATTTCAAAACATACATATTTATAACACAAAAAAGTTGAATATAATCTTAGCGTCTCGTACTCTCGTCACTGTCAATCTATTGAACTCTTGTTG